TTGGGCGGTGGGGACCGTGGGGAGGGCGAGCGCGCTGGGCTTCCAGGGGGCTGCGGCAGTTGTTGGCGGTCCGGCTGCGCGGGAACAAGGGGCGGCCGCCCGTTTCCAGCCGCTGCCCAGAGGCTGCCGAGGCGCCCCTGCAAGAGAGAGGAGGCAGCTGAGGCACCCGGCTGCAGGTGGAACAGGGGAACCCTCTTCCCAAGCGCGGCCCACGGGCAGCCATCCAAGAAACTGGTGTGGGGGGGGAAAATCATCAACTCACACTTTTATCTTCCTAAGCCGCCAGATGAAGAAACCGCAGAGTAGCCCAAGTGGCACAAAAATCACTGCTGATACTGTGGCAATCCGGCAGTGTCACTGCACATGCGGGCGACAGGAAACGCTCGCACTGCTCTGAGAACTTGGGGATCCTTCCCCGACCGCATCTGGAGGAGCAATTCAGGACGTGAGTCCATCCTGTGCACCACGGGTAAGCTCGCAGCACATTTCCTACCCCCAGGAAGTTCTGTCTCCCCCAGTGCTGGTGCCTGGGGGCACCCTCCCGCCCTTTGGGACAGGTTGTTTGGAGGGACAAAACTCCAGCGGCCAGCAGGAGAGCACGGGGAGGAGCGCAGCCGCTTGGCCAGTCGCTGCTTCGAGTGACACGGACAAAAACCATCCCTGCAGCAGGCAGAGCCGCCCACCCCCAATTCTCCCTGCCCCCGGGCCACCTCCCACCCCCCGAGGGGATGGGGTCAGGCCTTCTCAAGAGACACTCGAGCCTTGCTCTCCCCTTCGGCCTTTGCCCCAGCACAGGCACCACCCGCAGCCGCTGCCAGGTTTCGGGACGATTCTCCCACTTAGGGACCCCAGCAGGATTGCTTCAGTACCTGAATCCGTTTGATAAAATTCATACACTCTGCCGTGGCTTTTTCTTGTCTTTGAGATCACTGCCAAAAAGGAGAGACGACAGGTAAATCCTGCACGTGGCTGAGGCACAGAGGATGCAGGGGGACGGGGATTGTGGTTGTGTGGCTGTTCTGCGGGGGTGAGACGCAGCCCAGCTGCAGCTGCGCAGTGCGGAGTTCTCTGCCCCGCGCTTCCCTTCTCCCGCCAGGGAAGCGGCCGGGCAGGAACGAAGCGCAGGGCAGACTCTGTACGGGGGGCTAGTGCAGGGCGAGTGAACATTCCTCAGTGCAGAGCCCTAGTGCCCGCCCGCTGGGTCATCGGTGCTGCTGTTTGTTCGGGCTCAGTGTTTTAAGTGTCACAGGTGAAATATCTCCTCTAACGGGAGGCAGTAATTCCGTGTTAATTGTCGTCTTGACTTTAGGTGAGTACTCTGCAGGGAGAGTGCACCTCTGTACCACCTGCCTGAAGGAAATATTGCCAAAAGATCATCTACAATCTTACAGGGGTTGTTCGTTTTACCGGGGGTCATAGATGCCCATTATGAAGGGGAAATCAGAATTAATGGCCTGGACCCTGTACCCCCGTGTTCAGTAACGAAAGGGTCAAAAATTGTTCAGCGTGTTTATTTTTACTGCGGCTCCCCCTAATAGTATGCTGAGAAGCTGCGGTGACTTAGGATTTGGATCAACAGGTAGTCCTCATATATTCTGGGCTCAGACAGTGACACAAGATCGACCTCTGGTAAAATGTGCCCTCACCAAAGCAGAAGAATCTGTTGAGCTGACAGGCATTTTAGATATTGGTGCGGATGTGACCGTAATATCTGTGAGCAGATTGGCCGTTAGCTCGGGTAACTCAAGCGCTTTTCGGGGTTGGTGTCGTGCTGCAACTATTCATTCATGTAAGGGGCCCAGAAAACCAGGTAGCAAACATTCATCCATTTCTATTGGAAACCCCTATTACATTTTGGGGTCGTGCTCCATGGCTTGATGGGGAACTCAAATTGGATCAAATTTGTCTTAAGGGCCACTGTAGCGCAGCCGACCCTGAAACCCACCCTGAAACTAACCTGGAAAACGGCATCACCTGTGTGGGTGGGTCAGTGGCCCTTGCCAAGGGAAAAGTTATGCCACCTCAATGATTTATTTCAGGAACAATGAAGTGCAGGACACATCGGACCTACCACCAGTCCTTGGAACTCCCCAGTGTCTGTTATTTTAAAGAAAAGTGGTAAATGGTGACTTTTACATGATCTATTATTGCATGGGCTTTTTTTTTATGTGACACCAAATGCACAAGATGGTCACTACTCGTCCAGAAATGTTTGCCAAACTGATCATGAAAGGTAGGCAGTGCCTACTAGTACTTGCTGGTCAGGAACCTGTGTATATCATTGTTCCGGTTACTATCACATGTTACAGGGGCTCATACAAATGTCTTCGAGCAAGCACAGCTTTCACATGCATTTTTCCCACCAAAACGCCAGGACAATACAAAAAAATGCATCAGGCTAAAGACATCGTTGTGACTTGCCCGGAATATCAGAAAGACTCCCTCTCTTCGACAGCTAGTGGTGCCAAACCTCAGGGACTCGCCTCCTCAGAATTATGGCAATCTGAAGTCACTCACTTCGCTGCATTTGGAATGCTAAAGTATGTACATGTGTCTGTTAATACCTTTTCTGGAGCACTGTTTGCATCCTGCCATACAGTGGGAGTCAAGCCTCTGACCAGCATTCCCCACTCACCGGCCGGACAGGCCATTGTGGAGCGTACGCCTGGCACGCTCCAGTGCCTGTTACAACAAAAATAGAAAGGGGGAGATGGAGGGTACCAATCTACACCTCACGAAAGGCTAAATAAGGCATTATACGTCACGAACCTTTTAAACATTCCCCCTGTCTCACGGGTGCCACCAATATTGCGTCATTTCTCGTCACAGATACCTGATCAACAAGAAGTCCAGGGCAAGGCTCAAGTGTTAGCAAAAAACCTGGAAAGTGGTAACTGGGAAGGACCATTTCCTTTAATAACCGGGGGAAGAGACGATGCTGGTGTCTCCACAGGTCACAGTCCCTGGTGGTTACCGGCAGGGTGTCTGCAGCCATACCTGAATCTTGAGAGGCAGCTTTTGGTGGACACTCAGGAGCCGGCTGTGGGTGCTGTGGGTGCCCCTGTGCCGACAGTTTGCGGTCTCTGCGACTGATCAGTTAAGCAGAATGTCTGGGTAATGTGCGCTACTGCAATGGGACAAAATACGCTACAGTTACCAACTCTTAAAAGAGAAAATGCGAACAGTAATTGCAACTCCTTAATGAAATATATAGGCTTACTAGTCACTAGAGAAAGATGGATTTTAGATGAAATGTAGTTATTAATGAGGATGAAATCTGTAAGAATGTGTGGGAGACATCAGCCTGCCAGCCCTACACAGCCTCTGAAAAGCAGCTAGGCTTTGATGAGAAACAGGCCTTGGGAGAAAGATCAGAAACTGCTGAGTTATGCCAAGGTGGCAGGGAAAAACAACGGACAGCTGCAACACTGAGCTGTGGGAAAGCGACGAACTGCGAGAAGTTATCGCCGCGTGAACAAGAAGGTGATTGGTCTGCACAGCGTGTGTTAGAGCGGTCTTATGCTGATAGGAGAGAAGGTTGAGAGCTGTCTAATTGCTCATTTGCTAATTATGAAGTAAGCGCTTTGGCGAGAGTATGAGTATGTGCTATTGTAATAACGATAATGGGTCTTTCCTTCTGCACTTCAAAGGAGAACCTCGCAGAGGACCCTGGGCACGGAGAACACGTGAAGGGGGCAGGGGGGGTGGAAATTTTGGGGAAGCACGAGGCGGGGTTCAGGCCCCCGGGGTCACCCCAGGGCCGTGACAGCGGGGAGGGCACAGGGACAGGGCGGCGGGAGCCGTGGCCGAGGAGTGCTGAGGCCCGGCGCTCTCATTTCCCGGATGAGCGGCAGGAAGGGGCTGGGAGTGGGGAGGGCGGTGGACACGGCGGCGAGTGTCCCCGTCCCCATGGCCAGCCCCATGAAGTGAGGAACCTTAACAAAATGGATGCAGGACAACTAAGAGAAACGCTGGACGAGCAGGATAGGCTCTCAGCTGGAGAGGCTCTCGGCAGCAGGGGCTCTGAAGAGAAGGAAGGTGCTGCAACTACTGAGTCCCAAGATAAGGAACGGGACTCAACGAATGCTGAGTGGTCATGACCGTGGAAATGCTAACTGAGTAAAAAGTCACGAGAGGAAGAGGAGGCCTCTTCAGTCCTTATCCTCAAGACCCCCACCCACGACCACCAGGAGCCACTGCGCAGGCGTAAACAGGAGGAGACCAGGGCGGAGCATGTGAAAATGACTTCTTAAAACTCATAATAAAACCCACCTTTTCATGGAGAGATCATGAATACGTACAGCTGGTTTTGGAAATATCATGAATATGTAACACTTCATTGTAGAAAGCCAAGACATATTGTGACGCTGGGTGTGCACGTTAGGCGGAGAAATCCCCCATGCACGCAGCGCTGCGATAAAGAACGCCTGCTTTCTGATACTCTGAGTCTGAGGCTTAGAGAGATCTTACGCAACCGGCTTTTCGGTATCAGCCGGCCACGAGGAAGACACCGTTGGGGTCGACGGGCAGGCGGCAGGGGATGGCGTCCAAGCAGGCCACCATGGAGCACACAGCGGGGAGATGGGGGTGGCAGCAGTGACAGGGATGCCGCCAAGCCCCCCCCCCCCAATCTGTCCATTCGTCCCCTGTGCCCTCGTGGTCCCCAGTGTCCCCCTGCATCAGCCCAGGATCCTCCCACGGACCCCCTAAAGCTCTCTGGCACCTCTGGGGTTCCCAGTATGCCCACGGGTCACACCCAGTGTCCTCCAGGCTCCCCCCAGGGCACGCTGGTGTGCCCTGTGGTCTCCCTGCCCATTCCTTTCAGGGTCCCCACCAGTCATCCCTGGTGTGCCCCACATGCTGCCCCACTAGGAGCCAGCATCCCCCTGAACTCACAGGTTCCCCTCCGGGCTCCCTACTGTCCCCTGGAGCCCCCTTGGGGTCCCCAAGCTCCCTGGAGGTCCCCCTGAGTCCCTGCTGGAGTTGTGCCTCCAGTGCTGCTGCATCCCCTCGGGGTCCCAAATATCTTGCTGCGGTCTGCCCGATCCTTCTTCATCTCCTCAGGGCCCCCACCTTTCTCCCAGTCTCCCCGTCAGCTCGCCGTGTCCCACCCCTCCCTGTAACCCCTCTGTGTCACCTCAGGGGAGGCACAGTCCCCCTGCCCAGCTCTGGGGGGAGAGAAGGATGAGGCAAAGGCCTTGCTCAGCTCCTGTCACGTCCCGCTCCAGTGAGGGGGACAAGTGACTCAGATTCGCAAATCCCCAATTGGAGCGGACAACAAGTCTCCAAATTCAAGCATTTATTAACTACCTACAATGTACTAATTGAACACATGATATACTGGCTAAGTACAGAGCAAGCTGTGGCAAGCAATATAATATGCTTTACATTTCTTAACAGAAAAAAGGAAAAGAGGGAGATAGAGGGAATGGGCGAGTACAGATCACCGGTCTGGGTTCCTGCGCTGCTCCTGCCGGCGAGGATTCCAGGAGGCAGCTATCTTCTTCGCTGGCATCCGTCGTCTTTGCTTCACTGCTCTCTCCAGACGGCCGAGGGGGGGGGCAGGAAGAGGGGCAGAGAGAGAGAGAGAGCCCTTTCTTCTCCCCTTTGATTTATACCCACTTTCCTTGGGTCCGTCCCCTAGGTCGACCCTCAGACCTACGTATCCCATGTACAGGGAGGGGTAAGGTGTTTCATGGGATGATGTCACTAGCATGATCATGACAGCCCTCGTTAGCATATTGAGGGGTCTCAACTTTAATATGCATTTCGTGGATAATGAAGCAAAGTTCATTCACCGGACACATGGCCCTTGAAATCTGCCCAGGTGCCCCAGGGCAGAGCCGTCCCATCTCCACAGGGCTCTCTCCCCCAGATACATCGGGCAGCCTTATCAGCTTCAGCCTCCACAGAAAGCACCCTGTGACTCATGGTTTTGTCTTGGGAGTGTTTGAGGCAAATCTTCAATCAGCCTCAATTCTTGCTTTCCCAGGCTGTTTGTCTTAGTTTTTCACAGGCCTGGTTGCTCGGCTCTCACAGCTCCACACAGATGACAGCCACAGCTCTTCCTTGTCTGCAGAGCCAGCCACGCTCCATCACAGAAGGCCATGAGGCCGCTCACACCCAACCCGTGCTCTCCTGTGAGTCCCTTGGGCATGACAAATAATTTCAGAAAATACTTTTTTTCTGGTTTATTGATTGACTTTGCTCTGTCATGACCCTGACAGAAAGCATACCCTTAAGTTACAGACAAACAAGAAAGGGAAAAGGAAAGGCTTCCTCTTTCCCCTAAAATGAAAGTCAGTCCTTAGCCCTGCGGTCTGCCGAGGTGCCAAGCTGGGCCCCAGCCTGGAAGCTGCCCACAGAAGGGGATCTTGCATCCTCTCGAGGCTGAAATCACTCCATCACTCCGCAGCCTCACGAGCTGTTGGCAGCGGCACCGAGGAGGTCAGACAGCCCTTGGCTGTGCTTTCCTGCTGCTCTGGGGGCCTGTGAGCTCCCCGCTGCCCCTGTGACAGTGCCCGGAAAACAGGACAGAGCTGCCCGAGGGGACGAGCTCCCCTCCCTGGGGGGCAGCTCCCCCGGCATGGCTCTAGCTGCTCCACGAGTGCCCCGAGAGCTGTCCCCACGCAGCCTTGGCCTGGCCGTGACACCAGAGTGGGGCCGTGAGGTCACAGTGGGGCTGTGACACCAGAGCGGTGCTGTGAGGTCACAGAGCCCCACAGTGACACGCTGAGTATACTGGCCGCTCAGCCCCCAGCCCCCTCTGTAGCAGCACAGCAGCAGCAGCAGCAGCATGGTGCGCACGCAAGGAGCCATGGCCCTCGCCCGCCGACTCCTCCTCATCCTCCTCCTCCTGGTGGCCCTGCATGCCAGGGCTGCCCGGGCTGCTCCATGGCGAGCACGGGGAACAGGTAAGTGAGTGGCTGCTGGCGCAGCCTTTCACAGGCCAGTGGGCTCTTCTCTCCAAGAAGCGTGGATGGTGGCTTTTCCCCTCCAATGCTTCAGCAAGGGCTTGGTCTGTGTGCGAGAGCTCTCCAGGTACGAAAGCCCCCAGGAGCCGTACATTAGTCCATCTGCTCCTCGAGGGACGTTGCACATGGGTTTCCAAGTGTTTGGAAAGCTGCCGGGTGCCAGACAAGAGCTCCCCAGGCCCCTCTGTGGCTTGGACAGACTCCAACTTTGTCTGGACCCCATGTGGTGACCTGAGCCCCTTCCTGTGCCTGCAGTTCCCTATGGCAGAAGCGGATCCCAGCATGCAGTGGTAATGATTCTCATCTCTTGCTTGCTTCTAGATGAGGCCGGGAGCACTGGTTATCCAGCTTCTCGCCTGGATCTTGGTTTGGAGCCCTTGGGGCATCCTGGAGGTAAGTTCTCAATGTCCCTTTCCTTGGAAGAGTAAAGGCTGACAAGGTGGCAAGAGCTTACTTAGTTGCAATTTCCCTTCAGATCCTCTCCATGTCGATGTTTTCCCAGCAAGTTCATCTGTTCCTGTCCCGGAGCCTGAGATCAGTCCCACAGGTAAGTCGATGAGAGTGGGGAGCATCAACGTTTTCGTTGTGTTTCCGTGGCAGTTGCTCCGTCTATGGCTGATGCGCAGCCGGGCAGAAGAGCCGAGAGGAAAGGGGTTGGGCTCAGTGATGTGCCCCGGGGCGCTTTCCCTTGGGAAGCTGTCTTTGCTGGCCCCTCTGACCCTGAGCTGCTCCCGGCGCTGGCTGCCGCGCCGGCGGGCTTGTTGAGCTCAGAGCTGGTGTGAGCTCCAGGGGAGCCCTTTCTGCCGGCAGCTCCACACGTGGTTCGTTTGTCCCAGCGTGGTGCCACTGCAGGTGTGCAGAGGGAGACCTGCCCCTGGGCGCCCTCTCCTTGCGTGGTCCCCTCGCTGCTTCGGCGATTGGGTTCTGGCCACGTAGATCAGAGGAGATGACGGGAGCTTCTCTGGGTGTTTGGTTGCAGATGTGCCCGCAGGGAGGGCTTTCCCAGCCGCTCGGCTGTATCCAGCGCCAGAGTCCGGCTGGCATCGCAGGGGTGAGTAGTCTGTCTCTGCTGCCCTCACGGGCTCTGCGCTGCTGTCCTCTAATTT